AACAATAAGAGTGAGGTTAGTAAGTTGGCATAACCGGCTCGCCCCTAATATTAGACTTTATGATTGTAGATTTGAATCTCGTCATCTCTTTCTTGTAATAGTGTAAAAAAAAAAAAAAAAAACTTATGCAGTAAGAGGGAAAGAGCTCCATATTGGTCGTTGATGTAATTTGTTGAAGACAAGTGTCGTGCTCCTCCAAGAATATTTAATGAAACGGTGACATGGTCCGCCTCCAATAGACTCAATAATTTTATATTGGTTGATTACAGGATCACCATATTTCGTATATGCAAATTCCTCATATCACATGTTTGTCAAAAAAAAAATATGCAAATTCATAATATTGACTCACACCACTATAAAGTCTCAATTAGAGAGTCAAATTTTGTGAGTTTGTATGTCATTACTGTTTATCAACCTGTGTTTAACCCATTATTGGTAGAGTTCTATTGTTTTGTGTCGAGTCACGTTCTGTTTGAGTTATGTTTCATCGAAATTTACTCAATTATTCCTGCCTAATTATTTTACTATCATGTGTAATAAAGTTTGAGTCGTGGCACATGTATGTAGTATATAAATCGTGTTCAACCGAGTTTGTTTTGTATTTAGTTTTTTTTTTTTAAACTGGAAACTAACATTTCATTAAGAAAATGGATCACACATACAGTCAAAAGAAAGGATGTGTCCCAACTCCGCTGGTGGGTTACAAACCCAGTCATTCGGGAGAGAAGAGGACATCTTTGCTTTGGCCACTCAATGGGCTGCCTTGTTGGCATTACAGGGATTAAAAACCAACATGAGACCAAGACTGTTGGAAATTAGTCTGATATCCTCCACCAAAACTGCGATCTCCCAAGGTGGATCATCTTCACCAGTACACAATGATATCAGAAAATGTGAATCACTCACCACGGTTGCCTCATTCCTCTGTAATGCCGAGAGTTGCATGCATGCTTCATGTAAGGCCAATGCTTCCGAAAAAAGGCTGGAAACAAAGGGAGACTGCATTGCTAAACCGTCTAAAATTTCCCCTTCATGATCCCTGATAACCACCCCTACTGCTGATTTCTTCATCTTCATATTAAACGCTCCATCACAGTTTGTCTTGACCAGGCCAATGGAAGATCTACACCAGCCATCCAAAGCAATACAGTCCCGAGGAGGGGAATGGGACTGCTGGTTACGAACAGAGTGGAGAGAAGAGGGCTCATCCCAATCGAACTGCACCCTTTTTAGTGCGACTGCAGGAATGGGAGGAGCCGAATGAAAAACAGCCTCATTCCTCAACCTCCAAATGGACCACCCAATAATCGCCACCTTGCTAACAACCTCCACCGCCTGGGCAAATGTGTTTAGATTCTCCACTAAATAAGATGTCCAAAATTTCGCTGGTACAATATTTTGGCTTTTCATTCTCAGGGTCAAATCCGATCCGAACCAAACCTTATGAGTCCATGCACAACCAAATAAAAGGTGTTATGTTGTTTCAACCTTATCACCACAAATCTGGCAAAGTGGGGAGGAGCTACATTTTCGTTTAAAGAGATTCTCCTTCGTAGCGAAAGCATTAGAGCATACCCTCCACCAAAAGTGTCTTACCTTGGGTGTTGTTTTCAGGCCCCAAATAATGTTCCACAGATTAGGATGAAGGAGAGAGCAAGAACAGCAATCCTAATTCGCAATTGAAATCTTCATTCTCCTTGCCTCCTTATAGCCTGATTTAACTGTATAATAACCCCTCGCATCAAAATGTCATATCCTCTTATCCAACCCCTTCATTTTTGAGACCGGAATAACTGTGATAGCACGGTATTCCTCTCTATTGGTAAGCTTCCGTAGAGAATCAAGGTCCCAATCATTTGATGTCTGATTTATTACATCCATAACATACTCAATATTACAGTTCTGGAGCTTGGGCGAGAAAACTGAGAAACCAGACAAAGACGGGATCCATCTATCATTCCAAGAATTAATTTGTTCCCATTACCAACCTGCCATCTAATACCTCTAGCATTTTGTATTTAGTTGGATTCCAAGAGATTGTAAGTATAAGATAAGGTTTATCAAGGAGGGTAGCCCTTTCCATGAAAATAAAAAAAGTGTTGAAGTTGACGGGTTCGGCTCAGACCAAGTTCAACTCAGAGGCCCAATTAATAACTTTAGTAATAAAGATCAGGCACAAGTCACAAGTGCAACCAAACCTAGATCAGAAATACAAGTCAACAAGGATGAAATCCATCGTCTTAGAAAATCCAATCTGCTAGTGACGCAGGTGAAATATCCATCTTAGGAAGAAAATCAGAGTGCGCAAACCTCAACCACCTCGTCTGTTACACCCAACATCACGGAGCCACTCACTCCCATCACAAGAGTAACATCTTAATCAGGGCTCCAGGTAATGGCACCTCCATTAAAGCCCACTCTGTGGTACCATGAAGACTATACTCCCCCTATAAATTATAAGTCTCACCTACACATGAGGGGTATCACACACATTTCAGCACACTACACCTCTCAAGTAATAAGATTCTCCGGCCACCGTCATCATTCCTAATGGAGTAGGTCAACTAGCCCGAGTCACCTAATCTTTATGTTGCTTGTGTTGAGTTCTCTTTACTTCATTCTTGATTAATTTTACATAAAATCACTTTTGTGCATCATAGAAGTGACTGACAAAAATGATGGTGGAGCCCATTGCTCAATAACTTCACCAGAAATACAACCATATATAAGCAGTCTTTTGGCAATCCAATCGTTGTTGTCTGGACTTTTGTGACCTCTTCATTATGTCATAAATCATAATCATTAAGAAGCAAAGCAAACTCAATACTTTTTGTTTGGACAACAACATTACAAAAAAGTTCTAATAATCAAGCATTAATTAGTTGACAATATTAGTATTAATAGGGAATTTTGACAAAGTTTTTTGTAAAGATTTCATTACCACCTAATTCATGTCGAGTAGACCTTACTTTTGAGAATTCATTATTCAATAGCAAATGGAAAAAATTTATGACACTACAAACAGAAATTAAAGCAATTGTTAGATTCAAAGCTGAAGTTAAAGATTTATAATTCGACTTATTATTCTCTTAACTTGACACGAAAGTTATTGATATCTTCAACTTGGAGTTCCACCCATAGACGCGACGAGATAAGCGAGCGGCAACTAGGTTCCCTCTTGCCATCGCACTCATTCTTTCCTTATACTTCGCCGGGTAAAAATGATAGTACTGGGCAATAAAAAAGTGAATGGTTCATTTGTAACAAGTCAAGCACACTACTCTAAATCGTAACCTTATTCGTAATCTATATTTCACTAGCCACTCCACCTTGTGTCTAGGAAAATTACATAGAGGGGGAGTGATTAAGGTCTTTAAATAGACACAGGATCTACTTAAAGGTTAAGAGTCATTTCCACCAAATTTCCAATTAGCAAAACCTTTCCAGCAAACTTTGCATTGTTTGGTACGATAAAAAAACGAAAAGATAGAAAGTTGAAGGGATAGACAAAACATAATACTTGGTAAGAAAGAAAAATAAAATGATGGAAAATTGAATGGATTAAATTTCCTTCTAAGAGCATCTTCAACCCTCCTCTTTAAAATAGTTAGTCAAAATATATTTAAATATTACATTCACTACTTTAGCTACCCATTTCCATTTTTATAAATTCACTCCAACCACACTCTCTATTTTAGTTAACTACTACACCCAACTTTCACTAACTTCTAATAATTTAAAAAAAGTAAAACATATATATAGAGAGAAAAAAAGAGAAAAAAAGGTAGAGAGAGAATTTAGAGGGCTCAAATGGCTCACCACATTTGGTGAGCCATTTGGGTTAACTAAGAAATAGAGAGTGGGTTGGAGAGAATTTTTTGTGTTTGGCTAGCTAAAGTAGCTAAAAGAGAAGAAGTAGAGAATGGGTTGGAGATGCTCTAACTCAATAAAATCAATCCCCCCAAAATTGAAAAAAAAATAGATAAAAAATTAATTATATGTGTAAAAACATATGCTATTTACCTGTATATGTTTTAACATATACATATATCACATTTATCTATTACATATTATGTATACATTAATTTCGTATGTAGATAAAATGATAAAATATACATATATACTTTTTCCATTTTTCTATTTTTCCATCCTATCAAACACAAAAAATCAATTATTTTTACTTTCATCCATCCTACCAAACACAAAGGCGGGAAAGAAATATTCCTCCCTTAAAGGATATAAAACGTATCACTCTCGCTCTCCATCATTCTATTTTCCATCTATCCTGTCAAACACACCATTAGAGTTGTTTGGTTTTCTATTCAAATAGATACTAAATTGTTCATCACCATATATCACATAGCTAACCCCCAACCTAACCCAAACAAAAAAAAAATCCAAAGTTGTCTACTTTTATTTTTCACTTTGTTTTCTTAGCAACCAAATGCAGGGCACGGAAATTATTTTGCTTAAGGATTCAACTCGGAAATCATTTAACTCTTGCAAAAGATAAAAAATATCAGTTTGGCATCTTCAACCAAACTCAAATGATATTATGCTACTGCATTGTCCTACTGGATCCAGATCTAGCCTTGACAAATACTGGTTCATATAGTGTAGAAAATTTAAGCCTAGAAATTTTATATGTACTAATGTGTCCACGTTTTAACCTGCACAATCTGCCAAACAAACAGAAGAAAGAGCACCTATCCCACCATAGCTATACAGATACAATCAATGTGTCAGCACACGACACAGAAGAAGAAGTAAGCAGGAAATTAAAAGTTCCAACTGAAAGAATACAAAAAGAGTGTTCTCTAGATTGCACAACAATTTCATGTCCAAGGCATAATAGATGCAGGCATGAATATAGTTCACATGGAGGAGCCTGAGCCACACAAACTGTTCAGCTCTTACCTTGGAGTCGCAATGTGAATGCCTGCAAAGCTAAAAGAACTTCTTTCAACCTCTCCTTAGTATCAGCATCGGTCAAGTTGCCATCACTATCAAACTTCACAGGAGGTTGGAATGCATTCAGGAAAAATTCAGGCTTATTGATAAAATGAATGTCAAGGTAAATTCCGATCTGGCGGAGATGATACTGTGATCGTCCCCCACCAAAACCTCCTCCCGCACTCACTATAGCAGCAGCTTTGTCAGCCCACACATTTGGTGGTCTAGATGCCCAATCAATCGCATTCTTTAAAGGCCCTATTGTAACAGGGAAGAGACAGTGATTAATCGACGAGTAGCAGAAGCAAAATGCAGCAAAGCACCACCTTTCATAATTGAAGCATTTCGATAAATTGAGCCTTCAAACAAATGCTAACATCTGAAATATATTCTTAAGAATATGAAAACTACAACAGTGAATTTTTTTAGCCAATAGATCAAAGAAGATACATGTTGCCCCAAAAGAATCCAAGTATAAATCTTCTATATATCAATAATTAAAAATTGAAAGAAGCATGGATTAAATAGTGTGCAGCATTCAGGATTGAATTGAAACAAGCAATTATTCCATTTCTTCCAATCTTATACAGCCAAAACAATATATTATGATGATCCTTTAAGATGCGAACCGAATCTTGTTTCATAAGGCATAAGTTTTAAGACTTTTAAAGGTTAGATGAAGATAGGACAGCTGAGATGGTACTAGATGTGTATCTTCTTTCCTTTGGGAGAAGGTATGGAGTTCTTTCTGGAATGGTCGTCGACCTTAGGTATGTAGCTGCCTATCAGGCCAATGTTTTGTTTACCAAAGGGGTGTTGGTATGGGGATAAATCCATTCTACAAATAAAAGTACCTTAACATGAAAATCCTTTGATTAAGTATATTACCCTCTTAAAAAAGACCACTCTATCCTTCCACAATTAATATATAAATTACTATCATATCCTTGTGCATTTAAATCTCCAAATTACATCTAAGACCACTTTTAATTATATATTTCCTATGTATAAATGTCATTTTTTATAAAAAAATTTGATTGATTATATTACTCTTAAAAAATATATGCATCATTATAAGTTTTAATTAAATATTCAAGAAAATATTCAAAAATTCCATCAATATAATATTATTCACCTTATTTATAAAGAAAATATTATGATTACATATTTATATTTTATTTTTCATCAAAATGTTTAACATTTTCATTTTTACGATAAAAAATAATGTATATAAAATTTTACATGATTTTTTAATCACAATAAACCTTTTAAACTATGTTAACATTTTATGTGACAACTTGAATTTTTTAAAAAATTTAATATGTTTTATAGTATTGTATATTAAATTTTATCTCAATTGACCTAACTATTTCTAAATATAGTAAAGTTCCAATATGATTGGTATATTGATAATTATTTTTATTTTATTCAATGATTTATAATTGTGGAATATTAATCAAATTAATTTTAAAAAATTTCATTTTCAAACATCACTAAAAATTCACTTTTAATTACAAAATTATAGAAACAAAATAGAACTTTAATTATTTTTTTTCTTTTTTTATTATTTTTCTTAAAGTTAGAACAACAAATCTTGAAAATATACGAAGTTTTTAAAAATTCTATAGTGGAGCATGAGAGATGAAAAAATAAGTATGGTAAATTTGATATGATATTTAATTCAAATACACATCTCAAATATTTATTTATTAATTTTTTTTAAAAAAATTATGCACGTGCAACGCACATAGTGCGTTACTAGTACTACTAAAAGCAACTTCCATATGTATACTTGGCTTGGTTGGGCCTAAAACAAGCTTTTCACTCAAGAAGGGGGAATTTCTCGGCAAGCAAAAGGGCTTAAAAATGCCTTTATCAAACCTATTGCATTAGTAAAGCATCAAAGCCTTTTTACTAGGTTGGGGTGCCTGCCAGCTAACACTGTCATGATATGCTAACATTACAAAATAGAGCAGAACTTGCACCAACAACTTCAATCTGGTAGAAGATAAGCATGTCTTAACTTCTGAGTTACTATTTGTAGCTGTCGGACTCTCTAAATATAAAATTAACATAGCACAGAAAATAGCAAAAGGAAGCTTCTAAAATATGTAGCAGTTTCAAACTTTGACATTCACATTCTAATATTCCAGAATCCTCAGCTACCACATGGCTAAAAGCAGGGGTGATTGCAGTGGTTGTCCTCAAGGAAGATATGCTTCAAGGATTCACACCAAGTCAACTCCACCTCCCCTAAGCAATGGTTTAGGCAGGCTTAAATACTTAATCTACAATTTAGGACATATATATATATATATATATTTCTTGTTCTTTTGAATGTAACCCCGCTATCACCTCTTGAGATCTAAATTTTTCCAAAAAACACATAAATAAATATACACTAGGAACAGGGCGGCGTGGAGCCACAATTTTATTTATAGGGGATCTAACAAATGATTCTTAATGTCAATTGTATGTGTTGGAGTATAGATAGTAGTCTAGGTTTATTAGGATTTCTTTTTTCTTTTTTACCCTTACTAGATTTTTATATTTTGCCTAAACTACAAGGATGTTTAAGTCACTCTGTATTATTTTTGGCTATATATACGGGACTCTACTTTGAGTTTGAGTATCCCTTTTCCTTCACAACTATCTCAAGTTGGTATCAAAGCCAAACTCAAACCCTAACCCTAACCCTAACCTCCACCATACTCAGCGGCCACCATACTCACCATACCGACTGCTCAGACCGGCAACCCACCGACAAAAACCACCCTGGCCAGCACCTACCAAACCCAGTAGCCCCACCGACAGAACCCACATACCAGCCACCGATAAACAATAGCCTCCACTCCATCGTCTACCTCTGCTTCCAACCGACACCGACTGAAACCAGTTGCACCGACTGAAACCACAGCCTGCCTAGCAACCCACAGCACTGCCCATAAAGCACCGACTGAAACCAGTTGCACCGACTGAAACCACAGCCTGCCCAGCAACATGCGTGACTGCCCATAAAGCACCGACTGAAACCAAAACCAAAACCAACCTGCTGCCCAGCGAAACTCCTATAGCCCAGCCACCGACTGCCCATAAAGCACCGACTGAAACCAAAACCAAAACCAACCTGCTGCCCAGCGAAACTCCTATAGCCCACCCCACCGACTGCCTCCAACCGACAAACCCACTCAATCACCTTCCAGTAATTTTTTGAACTGCTCCTTCTAACTTTCACCAAAATCATTCCTTGAGAACCGAAGTTTCGTGAGTGAACCGAACCAGACCAGCCGACTGCCCAAAACCTGTTGAATACCTGTTGAATGTCTATGGTATATACATTGGCCCAGCGAACATATACACACTAAATAGCTAGCATCGACCAGCAGCCCAAACAACCCAAACCAGAACCCAGTATTGCCTCAGCCCATTAAACATATACTAAACCCAACTCACTGTTATATTTAGGATTTTTTATGAGGGGTTGTTGATTTGCTCTTGATGCAGTAGATCACTTATTTATATATTTTGGATTTTTGGGCACCGTGACTTGATTATTTGGGAGCTTTTTTGGACCTTCCCTATTTGTCGCTACTGTTCGACTGAAGGTATATTGTTCTCCCTTATTTTATTCCTCTATTTATCTTAGAGTTATTTTTCTGTCACGGGTGCCCTAGTACTGTTGTTGATATGGCTACTACTGAGGGACTTGAGAACCCTACTGTTGACACCTCTACCGTTGAGACATCTATGGGTACTTCCACTTTTATGTTTGACCAGTATACAGTGCCTACTAGCACAGTTGCATTACCAGCATTACCGGGCATGATCTCTCAAAAAGTTACGGCACAATTGTTGAATGGTCGTAACTTCGCTGAGTGGTCACGCTCATTCCAGCTTTTCTTAGGCCGTGTAGGGAAGCTTGGTTGGCTGACGGGATCTCACCCAAAGCCAGCTGATGCCGACCCTGGATATTCTGCATGGTTCTCTGAAAACTGTGCCATTCTTGGATGGTTATTTGGCTCAATGGAGCCCTCTGTTTGCAGGATCCACCAGTTTCATAGCTCTGTTCCGAAGCTATGGAGCGCATTATCGGAGATGTATTCTCAGTCAGGACGGGGAGTTCGTGTTTATGAGCTTTCTCAGGAGCTCTCATATGCTCGGCAGGGAGATATGACCGTTCAGGATTATTATGGCTATTTGACCCAGCGCTGGCTTGAGTATAAGTCTCTACGTCCTCTTGCTGCTATTCCGAAGATAGAGCCCGAGGGAGCAGCATTCTTGCATACTCGAGAGCAGGAGGATAGGATTCACAAGTTCCTTATGGGGCTTCGTGATGAGTTTGAGGGACCTCGTTCTCAGATCTTGTCGATGTTGACACTTCCTTCTCTTTATGAGGTGTATGGGATGATTGAGCAGCATGAGCGTCGAGTCCGTATTGCATCACTTCCAGTTGCAGCTTTGCCTCCTTCGATTGACCAGATGGCCCTTGCAGCTGCTGTAGGGTCCCGTTCAGGATCCTTAGTCAGGGATAGGCAACGCTCAGACCAGCGCCGTCAGGGCGCCCCAGATCAGCGTAGACGGGGGATTCCCGTCAATGTGATTATTGTGGCCGACCAGGACATCTCAGGGCTACTTGCTGGAAGCTCCATCCAGAGCTTAAGCCACCTTCTCGCAGCCGTACTGTTGCTATTGCTGAGGTACCACCGCCCACTACCGCCACTCCTGCTACTGCTCCTCCTTGGCAAAGTGATATGGATGCTATCACTTCCCGATTAGATATACTTATGTCTGCTCTGACTTCTCAGAGTCTGACTACTGCTACTGTCACCACTACAGGTATATCTCGTGCCTTTCACGCTTGTGCCAGTTCATCTCCCCTTTGGATGTTGGACTCGGGTGCGAATGGTCACATGACAGGTGAGGCCCATCACTTCACCACTTTTGACGAGCCGTTACATACACAGGTTCAGTTAGCAGATGGAACACATGCCCCTATTGTTAGTAGGGCTACAGTCCGTCTCCCAGATGGCCTTACATTACATTCGATTTTTCATGCGCCAAAGTTGGCCATGAATCTATTATCTGTACATCAGTTAGCCAGAGATTTTCACTGTGCGGTTGTATTCTTATCTGATTCGTGTTATTTGCAGGACCTGAGTACCAGGAGGATTATTATCAAGGGACATGAGAAAGATGGACTGTATTATCTTGGCAATCCATCTCCAGTTTCACCAATTCCTTCACCTGCACCTGCTTTGTCTTTTTCTGTTCCTAGCTTGCATGCTAGTATTTTACCTAGTAGTTGTCGTTATGATTTTTCGTCACAAACTGTTCAATTGTGGCATGACCGTTTTGGACATACAAATTTTAAATATTTATGTATGTTGTTTCCTGCTTTGAGTAATGCTTGTGTTGGTGGTAAACTTGATTGCGTTATCTGTTCCCTATCAAAACATGTTAGGGCCAATTATATTCCTCGCATGCACCAGTCACCCAAGCCATTTGACCTAATACACTCTGATATTTGGGGACCCTCTCCCGTTACTGCTCTGTCAGGTGCCAGATATTATGTGACATTTATAGATGATCATACCCGTTGTACTTGGGTCTACCTTTTGCATAGGAAGTCTGATGTGCTCCCTATAATCACTCAGTTTTTACAGATGATTAAGACACAATTCGATGTCATTGTTCGTGCTCTTCGTTCGGATAATGCCAAAGAATATGTGTCTGATGCTTTAGTATCTCACCTTTCTTCTCAGGGTATCCTTCAGCAACTCACTTGTCCATATACTCCTGAGCAAAATGGTGTTGCTGAGAGGAAAAATAGGAGTTTGATAGGGATGGTACGTTGTCTGCTTAGAGGCATGAGGGTACCAAAATCTTATTGGCATTTTGCTGTTTTGACTTCTACCTTTCTGTGCAATCGTACGCCGAGTCGTGTTCTTCAGCATAAGGCTCCCTTACAGGTCTTATTTCCTGAGCGGACACTTTTTCCGGTCCCCCCTCGTGTTTTTGGATGCACATGTTTTGTTCAGGATCGGTCTCCTACTCGTCATAAACTTGATGATAAAGCGATTCGTTGTATCTTTGTGGGCTATTGTCATCAATCTAAGGGGTATCGCTGTTATGATCCTATTAGGCGTCGTATGTATCACAGTCTAGATGTTACCTTTCTTGAGCATATTCCTTATTTTTCTTTCAGTCCTTTGTCTGCCCCTCCAGTTGATGATACTCCCTTTGATTTTCCATTACCACAAGAGTCAGAGTCATTGATCACTATCCCTACAGGGTCATTCGTTTTTCCTCCAAAGGAGTCACTCATCCCTGTCAGTACAGAGTTACCAGTCTCTCTTCCTTTGCAGGTGTATGCTCGTTGTCCTCGCTCTCATCACCCTGTTGATATCCCCTCTACCTCAGGCGATGCAGGTAATACTTCTCAGTTTGTTGAGCATATTGATGCACCTGTTGTTAGTACTGATGAGATTACAGGTGCTGAGCCAGTTACTTTACCTGATAAGATATTATCAGTAGAGGATGGTGATTTAGAGCGTCGTTATCCAAGGCGTGATCACCGTCCAGTTGATCGATATGGTTGGACCGCCAAGATTTTATATCCGATCTCTGCTTATGTTTCTTATGGTAATCTGTCTCCCACATTTCGAGCTTATACTATGGCCTTATCAGATACGCTGGTTCCTCGCTCTATTTCGGAAGCTATGCTGGAGCCCCAGTGGGTTCTTGCCATGCAGATAGAGATGGACGCTCTTCAGCGTAATCATACATGGGATCTTGTCTCCTTACCTTCAGGGGTGAAGCCTGTTGGCTGTCGCTGGGTTTACACCCTGAAGTTTCTGGCAGATGGTACTATTGATCGTTACAAGGCTAGACTTGTGGCGAAGGGCTTTACTCAGGTACCAGGTCGTGACTTTGGTGCTACATTTGCCCCCGTGGCAAAATTGACTATTGTTCGGTTAATTATTTCTCTGGCTGCGGAGTACACTTGGCCTCTTCATCAATTAGATGTGAAGAATGCGTTTCTTCACGGTGATCTGGACGAGATTATTATATGGATGCACCACTGGGCTTTCGTGGTGAGGGGGAGTATGCTGGAAAGGTATGTCGACTGCGTAAGTCTCTTTATGGACTGAAACAGTCGCCACGAGCCTGGTTCTCTCGCTTCAGTGATGTAGTCATACGATTGGGGTTCACCAGGTGTCATTCTGATCATACCTGCTTTATTCGACGGAATACTTCTGGACAGTGTGTCATCCTTCTGGTATATGTTGATGATATTATTATTACTGGTGATGATGTTTCTGGGACTGCGCAGGTCAAGATAGACCTTGGGAAGGCCTTCGATGTGAAGGATCTTAGATTTCTACGATACTTTCTTGGGATTGAGGTTGCCCGTAGAAGCAGAGGTATTGTTCTTTCTCAGAGAAAGTATGTTTTGGATCTTCTTTCAAACACTGGGATGTTGAGGTGCAAACCGGCATCATCACCTATGATTCCAAACCTGAAGCTTACTGCTGAAGGTGAGGAGTTGAAAGATCCGACAGTTTATCAAAGATTGGTAGGTAGACTTATCTACTTAGCCAATACTAGGCCGGACATTTCATTCGCAGTCAGCCGAGTTAGTCAGTTCATGCATAGGCCATGTCAGCCTCATCTTGATGCAGTTTATCATATTCTTCGGTATCTCAAGTCTTGTCCTGGACTTGGGTTGTTTTATGCATCAGGATCTCAGACCGGTTCTCTAGCCTGTTATTCAGATTCAGATTATGGGGGAGCATGTGATGGTCGATCTACTACGGATTTCTGTGCTTTTCGAGGGACTCATCTTATCTCTTGGAAGAGCAAGAAGCAGGCAGTTGTCTCCCGCTCGTCCGCAGAGGCAGAGTATCGGGCATTGGCACTTGGCACATGTGAGATTATTTGGCTACGATCGATTCTTGACGAGTTGGGTTTTTCAGTGACCTCTCCATCCACATTATATTGTGATAATCAATCTGCTATTCAGTTCGCTTCTGACTCTGTACTACATGAGAGAACGAAGCATATAGAGATCGATGTTCACTTTCTTCGGGAGAAGGTCAGCAGTGGTCTTGTTACTCCATCGTTTGTGGGGACCAGTGATCAAGTTGCGGATGTTTTTACCAAACCTGTCACTCTGTCTATTCTTCGGGACTCCGTTGTCAAGCTTGGCTTAGTTGACATTTTTGCGCCTAACTTGAGGGGGAGTGTTGGAGTATAGATAGTAGTCTAGGTTTATTAGGATTTCTTTTTTCTTTTTTACCCTTACTAGATTTTTATATTTTGCCTAAACTACAAGGATGTTTAAGTCACTCTGTATTATTTTTGGCTATATATACGGGACTCTACTTTGAGTTTGAGTATCCCTTTTCCTTCACAACTATCTCAAGTGTATGAATCCATGAAAATCAATTTCCAAACCATATATTCCCGTATATCAAAAATCCATAAAATTGAAAATACTAGTTTTTTTTTTTTTTGCCCAAAAAAAGTTAACCTAAACTTGTCAACGATACTTGTAAAGAAAATCTCAGATCTATTCATAAAAAACTCTCCAATTTTTAGTTTGGTTTCAACATGTAATAAATAACTCAATATAGAGTGAGCAAATGTGATAGGAAAAAAAACATGGAATCATGCAGGTCATACAGAGATCATATCTCCGTAAATTAAACCATACACATAAACACACACACACACATCTAATCTAATATTAATACTTAACTTATAAAAGCAACAACTGTCAAGATTGATGTCATTTTCATCTACTTTGATTCAATGGTACTCTCCATTAATAAACACCCACCTTTCTCTTTTCTTACCTCTACCTATCTCTAATGTTTTCTTTGTTCATTTTAATTTTAATTTGCATAATTAAAAAAAATTGTTATTTAAAATAAAAATTGCACAACTAATGTTCCTTTTTGCTATTACAGGTGTCTTGAGAACAAGATTATTGCTACTATATATATATATATGCTCTACATTCTGCAAATTGCAAAGAGCCGAACAAAACAATAGAGAGAGCAGAGACATATTTTATTTGGTTTTCCTTTCCCAATCCCTCAATAAATGGGAACCCAAATGAACATGACAATGTTATGTTATGTTATGTTATTGGCTTAATTATCAAAAACCATAATCTCCATGATTTAATCCAATGTAGAAACACATGAGAAAGAGATTGATACATACAGTTCACACTGCGTAAGCGTTTGAGGCTAAATTTAAGGGTAAAATTACAACAGAAACGAGGTTATAGAAGTACCAGTGACAGAAAAATTGTACTCTGGCGAAGCGAAGAGAAAGCTATCGGCAGTGGCAATCTTCCGGCGGAAAGAATCTACGGGCGGAGGAAAAGCTCCGTTGACCTCGAGATCAGTGTTCAGAAACGGGATTGGCGATATGTCAATGTACTCGATGTTCATACCCTTTATTGATTCCTTGCTTATCGCTATAGCTACAACATTCAACCAAACACAAATTCACAATTCTAACTCATCGTGCCTTCCGATACGAATTATACTTATTCTTATCATATTTCTAGTATTATAATTAATTCTTATTTTATTAATTTGTTCTCATTAAGTCATAAATCTTATCATAATTTAAAATAAGATATATTTATGCACATAATTTCATATCTAATTTTAATTAAAAAAAATTTTGCTGCGTATTTAAGTTAAAGTATTGCATAATTAGCAATAACTCATATCTATTTAGAGGAGTACCTGAACGGAGGAGGCTGCGATTGAATGAACCCTTGCGAAGAGAACCGCAGAGAGCGGCGACGTTGATCACTGGTTTCGCTGCTACAAGTGCTTCCATCTCTCTCTCCCTCTCTCTCTCTCAAAAACTCTGTTGCTCTAGATTCTTCTTCGCATGTTGACTTGGTGGAAGGGAAATGCTCTGCAACATGACGTTTTTATTTTTATTTTCCGACCGTTAAGATTTCAATCATTACTATGCTTATATTAAGGAAAAATTTTATTCAGACCTTATAGATAGATTTAACTTCACTGATATCCCTTCCCAATTTGAAATTTCACCGCACTCCCTCATAATTCATATATTTATTTCAAGTACACTCTTTACAATGACAAACCATTACCGACAACTAAAAAAGTGACGATATCATCTAATTTTTTTTCAAAAATACTAATTTTATCCTTTTTTTTCTTTGCGCCATTTTTTTTTTTTTGGAGGAAAAATTACATTGATTAACAAATCAAATTACACAAACATTTAGAAGTAACGTCTAGTGTTTTTCCCCCTCCTTTAAAAGGCATGTCTTGGACCTCTTTTTTGGCCATTTAGGATTAACAAACAAGTCAAACTAATTCATACATAAAATAAACAGACCAAAGTATTTGAAGAAAACATAAAATGGACAGACCATTTAGGATCATCAGGATTTGCGTCTGTCAACAACGAACAGATTGAAAGCAACACCTTGGAAATGGTTAGGGCAGGGCTCCATTGCTCTTTCAAGATGTCAAGACATATGCTTCCATTGCTATTGATATTTGGGTGGAAGACCTTTGTTCTGAATGCCACCTTGGGCGGCTTGAATGGATAATCCGAAGGAAAATGGATGGTAACCAGAAAAACGCCGCCAGCATAAGGACTGCTCGCAGGACCCATAATTGTTGCTTGCCAGTGGAACATGTCCTCCGCAACAGGACCAGCGCTGCATGTAATACCTAAGATAAAAAAAAAAATGAAATAACAAAAATAATAATAAAAATAAAAATAAATAAATTTGATTTGAAAAGTTTTAGACTTTTGTTTGGGTTAAGGTTTATCTTTATGGACTTATGGATATGATTTGAAAATCAGTGGAGATAATTTAGTTTTTTTTGTGTAGGGGAAATATCATATAATTATAGAGACCTATTAGGACTATTATACATTTGGTTTAAATAAGATAGTATTGTTAAATAGGTCAAACCATTCGTATATATAAAAATATATTTAAGTTTGTAGAGTTTTTTTTATTGGTGAGAAGGCTTGTAGAGAGGTTGTCCCATGAACGAAGAAGAAAAAGGAGAGAGAGAGTTAAAAGAAAGAAAGATGAGGAAAGAAAGAAAGGACTTGAATCCATTAAAGATAAGAATTTGTTACTTAATTTATGAATTTTGTATTTTATTCAATCACATAGTGTTGGATTTATGATAAGTAGCAATATATATATATGTTCATGATGAAGAATATTGATGAATATATAAATGGGTTTAAGTAAAAAATGCTAATTTAAGTATTTTAAACCTAAGTTAGATTGGTTAGTTTTGAAATTTTAAGGAATTAAACCAATGTGCAAAAAGGAAAAAAAAAATAGGGAAAAGAAGTACTGTTCCAGGTTCTGCCGCTCGAAAGAAGAAGATCAAATCCAAAATTCATAGAAAGCTCCCTTTTAATGTAAAAGAGTTTTATTTTAACCCCTTTATTCTTTTAAACTTAATTTTAAGTACCTTTTCACTTGGTAAGTTACAAGAACAGAATTCTGGAAAATTTATGGCTGCCCGAAAATAAAAAATTCGTTTTTTAAGGAAATTATACTTTGAACCCAAAAATTTTAAAAATTATGATTTGACCTCAAAACTTAAAAAAAAAATTATAAACAGCACAGACTACTTCTATACTCTATTAAATCATATTATAAAGGATAGTTATATGTAAATGATTTATTAAGTATATATTAATGGGTAGAAAGTACGTAAATTAAATATAAATTTACAAAAAGACGAAGTTAGAAATATGGATTGATGGTTATATATTATTTTGGATTAGATAATGATTGCATTGAGGTTGGAAAAGAGTGTTTCGAATTGGATTTTGGGAATCAAGGTGAGTAGTTTACAACCTCTGTTGGGAGGATTTTCTATACTCAATGTGTGAGTACGTGCATGTGGATTTTTTATATATATGATATATGTGTTGATATTTGGAATTACAATTAAATGTTTTGGAAATTGTGAACTGTTCTACATGTGAATTTTGAAAAAGTTATGGGCTGATTTTATATCATTACTTTGGTGATGAAAAGAAATTTTGTGTGCATTGGGATTAAAACTACAGTTTTGATGTGTGTGAAAATCATATTTATGAGACAAGAACTGGGGTTACCAGGTTTAAGTGGTAACAAGCGACTAAGATTGGGATTACCAGGTTTAAGTGGTAACAAGCGACTAGGTCAGTCATCAGGCTAGTGATGACAAGAGACTAACCCAGTTACTAGACTAATGATAACAAGAGACGGGGGGAGTCATCAGGCTAGTAATGACAAGAAACTGTGTTAGTTATCAGGCTAATGGTAATAAAAGACTATGTCAGTTACCAAGCTAGTGATAATAAACATGATTTGATAAATGTATTTGGAATTGAATGTGTATGTGAGCATTTTGAGTTATAGATGTCTTTTCATTTATAAAGTTATTTGTGATTATAAGATCATGTTGTTTATATGATTATGTGTGAGGAATTGGGGTATAATTTATTGTACTTATATATATATATCAAAATTTATTTTTGTATATGAACTATGAGATTTATTTTCACACCTCATTAGAGGTGGTTGCTATTCACGGGTCATTGTGCTCGTCCAAATATTTAATATTTTTTAGGTGAGAATCAGGGTAAGAAGTAAGTTTATAAATAAACAAGAGATTAGAGGAATCGAAAATTTATTTTATTATAGGTCTTCAGAAATAAAAATCTTTTATAGTTTTGAGACAAATGTTTAATTATTTTGAGAACAATATTATTTATGTTTAAAGTAGTAAACTTTATGGTTTAGTTATTGTTTTACGTGAGTTTAGTAATGATATTGATAATGTTTAGTTTATTCCTCTAGTATTTATTAGATCGGTGAAATGAATCACTTTATTATTTATTTTTCGCTGTATTTTACATTTATTATGCACAAGGATGATAGATTAAGACTTTGGTGGCTGGTTTGCTGCCCACCACCTGTGTGATCCGGGGTGGGGGTGCGACATTGCAAGAAGTGGGAGGATCCTTCTGAAGATTCTTGAGCTTTTTCATGATCCACTTTGAAGCCATACCAATCCTTGAGAATAAACAAACCCCTCCATCGCTCTATCCGATCTAAAGAAGATGAAAGAAAAAGGAAATAGATGATTCTGTTGGGGTGAATTGACTTTTTATAGTTGTTATGCCATCCAATGGGACTGATTCTTCCGACTACATTAAACCTGCTCTAGATTGGGTTTCTTTCTCTCCACAAACCTTTTGCATCAACACCTATCACAAACCCCCCAAATCAATTTGATATTTTTTTCTCTGTCTTTCCACCAGGCAACGGAATATCTCCTGCAACCAAACATAACCCATTTCGGTCTTCTCTCTTCAAAATTAACTATGTTAAAGACCAGAATCTAATACATATACCATGAGACTCTTACCAGAGTGAGACGAAAGTGTTGAAGATCGTTTGGTGAGAATTACATGAAGATCACCGTTTTCGCCTTCAAAGATGCATATTAGAACTGCGGCTCTGTTGGATCTCAGTCTTTTAGATTGGTTCGCAATTGGGTTTGTTGCAAATTCGAATCGAATTCTTACTGAATCCTCCGTGGTAGTTACTGGAACCCATTAGCTATTTGAGAGAGAGAGAGAGATTTTCTTTGGGGAATATGATCATGGATTGAATATATATATAAAGTTTAAGGGTGAAGTGGTAAAATAAGCATTTCCGTCGTGTCCGTTACTCGACAAAGATTGATAAAGGGTGTCAGTAAAATTTCAAAATCTATAAGGGGTGTTATTGAAATTATACATATTTATAGAGAGTTGGATAGAATTTTCTCTTATATTAAAAATATATATGTATTATTATGCAGACAGACAAGACCCACAACCCACCCAAAACGTACATTGATATAATTGTTAAACATAAAGGATGCTACAATATTATATTAAAAAATTAAATAAAAATTGGCACACTATCCCTATATAAATATTTTTAATGTTTATTTATAATTTATTTTTGAAGTATTTGGGATCGATCCTAAATGTTTAAAGATTTATTCTAAAAAATTATAATCGATCCCAAAAAAAATACAAATTGATCCCAAAACTATATTATAATTTTAAAATGATTTAAACCAATGAATCGTATTTTAAACTGTAAAGAAGAACATTTTTGTGGGGAGGTTGGGTTGCGGTGGTTGAGGTGTTAATGTCTGTTGGGTTGTTATTCTTTGGTATTGGGATGACGGTTGAAATTAATTTGAGAATTCATGTGGTGGTTTCTTTTTCGCCAATCAAGCATGGAGCCACGAAAGTCTAACGTCCCAATGTCTGTCAATGTCTTTGCCTTTTTCACTGCTGACGTAGTAATAATATCATATTAATTAGGGAGAATTGTACTTAGATCTTCTAAAGTTATTACTTAATCATTCATATATCTTATATTATTTAAAATATTACATATAAACCCATTGAGGCTTGTACGCGCGTAACACTTAGACTTTTACTGTCGTCACTGGCCGTTAGAATAGTCTTTAATAAATTATATTCAAAACCTCTAAAATTTGTAGCAGTGTAATACTTAGACATCTCAAATTTAAAATATCATATTTAGATTAAAAATATTTCAATCAAAAATAAAATATCAAATATTTTAAATTTAAAACCAAAATTCGTGTTTTATTATGACATTTTATTGAAATAAAATTAAAAATAAAAATTTAATTTTTTTAAAAAAATATAATTACTTTATAATTATACTATTTATTAGAATTTAGTTTGATCGTTTAAATGATCAAATTAATATACCAAATTACCCCAATTAAAATTAGAAGATATTGTGTCCATTACAGTTTGACCCATTGTTTAATTTTTTTAATTTTATTCTAATAGATGATATAATTGTATATTAATTATGATTTTTTTTTTAAAAATATATTTTTATTTTTAATTTTATTTCAATAAATGATTTAATAGAACATGAATTTTGATTGTAAAATTCATGTTCTATTATGAATGACATAGACCCCTTATTTGATTTTTAGTTTTATTCCAATATATAGTATAATTGTATAATAATTATGATTTTAAAAAAAATTAAATTTTTATTTTTAATTTTATTTCAATAAATGATACAATAGAATATAAATTTTGGTTATAGAATTTAAACTATTTGATATTCTATCTTTAATTGAAATATTTTTTGTCTAAATATAACATTTTAAATTTAAGGGATCTAAGTGTTATATACCTACAAGTTTTAGAGGGTCTAAGTGTAATTTATTAACAGATATATTAACGGGCAGGGGTCTAAGTATTATGCGTGTACAAACTTTAGAAGGTCTGTATGTAATATTTCAAATATTAAGGAGTCTGAAGGATTAAGTGACAAACCTCAGGGGTCTGGGTGTAATTCTCCATTTTAACTAAGTAAATTCTAATATTTTAATAATCATATTCGGAAAAAAAAAATTATAAGTAAAATCTATTATTGACAATCATTTGGGGTAAAGTCATGACAGATTTATTTTTCATAAATATTTTAATTCTAACATGAATAACCTATTTTTGACCAAACTGAAAAGGAGAATTAGTAAAAATTGCGTAAACTAATTCAGATACCCTTAATTGTTGAACCCAAAAAAAAAAGTATAACCACCGCATCTAATAACTTTCATTAATAGTGAAATTTACTTATCCTACGTATCATTTTATTATTGAAAGATAATATTACGCAATAATTTTACAGGAAACATGCAACGTTTTGCTTTGAGACGGATTGGGGTTTTGATATAAGGAAATAGTATGTTATCTGTTGGAGATTGAAAGAGTAAGAGGAGTTTCAAGAAATCGTGGGACGTTGAATGAAACTCAATTGTCAAATATTAGAATGAAAAATATGAATCTTTTGATGAAGGTCAATCATTTTTTTTGACAAAATCTATCAAATTTGAGCACCAAAACTAAAGTCGAATTTGTGGGAGATTGAATAAGAATTGAGCGCAAACCTTAGGACGTTGAATGAAACTCAATCGTCAAAAATTAGAATGAAAAATATGAATCTTATGATCAAGGTCAATCATTTTTCTTGACAAAATCAATCAAATTTGAGCGCCAAACCTGAAGTCGAATTCGTGGGAGATTGAATGAGAATTGAGCACAAAAAATAACGAAAAATTCTAATTTTTTGGTTATGTCTGTTGAAGTTAAGAGTCGTGACGTGAACGTGATATCACTGATTCTCAATATTTACTCCCTTCCCCCCCCCCCAACCACCTCTCTATTTTTTTTAACAAAGATAGCAATTTCACTTTAATCCAAGACTTTGACGTGCTATGTCTAGTTCTTGAAAGAGACGAAGATGATTTTGGATGGGTAGTAAATTTGTGTGACGAATTTGTGTAGGTTCATAAAAAAAAACGAAATTCAACATCACTCTAGTAGGAGTCTTTCAACTGGTTTATATACACCTATATATTCCTTCAAATGTTAAGTCTCAATTGAAATATTTTCGTCGTGACGATGTGAGATTTTAATTTTTTTATTAACACAAACAAATTCATTACACAATTTGACTACTCACCCAACTTGAACAACATAAGTTAGTTGAACATTATGCGTGAATATCATCATAAAAGATTCTAAGTTAGTTGTGTATGGAATCAACTTGGAATTTATCATGTATAACAAAACTATGTAATTATTTCTTTCGTATATTGTTTCCAACTATTTTCATCAATTTGAAAAGCATATATATTGATTATTTTTTTTATAATTTCATTGTTTTTTGATAATTTAAAATTTAGTTTGTTAATAGCTTCTTTCCGTTGTCATGACAGTATAAACATCACTAGAGTATCTATTATTGAACTTCAAATATATTCTCTTACTGTTTTATTAACTATTACTCTAATTGAATTTTATAATTTTAAATGATATGCTAAAGAACTTGAATACATAAGTTTAAATAGTAAGTTGGCATTTCAAATAATAAGAAATTTATTTTTAATAAAAATAAAAAATATTACATAATATAATAATAATCATAAATAATGGGGACTTATCCAAAAATTTGGCTTGAATATTTACTAATAAATATTAATTTCTTTTTAATTTGCTTTGTAAAAGTTGCCCACTCAGCAAGAAGTAGTAATCTCCATTTTGTAACTTTAGCTCAAGTATCTATGTGCTGGTACAACCTCTAGTTGTAACTTTTTGGTCAAAATCTATGTGACCCACTGTCATATTGAAGCAGCCATAGGCACATATACACATGAGGAGAACATGCTATCTATTGTCTTGCCAAGGAGAAAAGGGCAAGATAATAACATGTTGGTTCAAAGAAGACAAGATCATGTTAAGCAAATCATAATGGCCAATTGAGATTTGGGAACTGTGGTGGGGGGTTGGATGGGGCCTTGGGGGTCCTCAAGATTGAAGTCCATGAACATTGTCCAATTTGGATTTTAGATGTGTAGTTGGTGGTTTGATTAATTAAAAAATAATATAATCACACTCACATTGCTAATGATTTGACCCGAATTTGTGGAGTGCTTGCGTGATTTTTAAAATTACGATGTCACCTTTTATTAATAATTCTAAGAAAGAAAAATAAAATTATAATCATATACACAAATAATATAGTCATGTTTGATTTGCATTTAAAAAACTGTTTTCTGTTTTCGAAAACAGTTTCTGAGATAAAAGTCGTCTGACCAGTTATTTTTTTGAAAATCGATAACAAAAATTAGGTAGATTTTAGTGAATAAGTTATAACTGTTTTGTGTGTTTTTAAAAATAATTTTTTAAAAATTTAGAAAACATTACCACCACTACATTTATATTTCTATTGTTTTCTGGATTACTATCCAAACAAAATTTACTGTTTTCTATTCCTATAATTATTTTTGGAATCGTGTAACCTAATAAATTCCGCGACACAAAAATTCCAAAAAACAGTTTTCTAAAATCTTTTTCAAAAATAATTTTCGAATATTATTTTTTGAAACACAAACCAAATAAGACCTACGTTTTCTATTGGATTGTTCCCAAACACCTTTTAATATCCATAAACTTCTCTCTCTCCGTCGACAAAATATAACCTCATAACCAAACACCCTGAGTTCTCCCCAATCTTATTTTCTCTCTCTCCCACACTACCTACCACATCCTCCATCAAATACAATACATTGAAGTCATCCTCTCACTTTTCAACACAGACAAACACTATCACTACCACTACCACTATCACTACCACGACACCACCT